AAGAGCCGAAATCCTCTTTTAAAAGTTGTGTTCGGTGGTCGCATAACATGAATTTGAGGTGCAAGCACGCCCTATCTCCACAAATAGCCGTGTATTAAAGATACTGCTTGCCATCAATGACTGCAGATGCTCGCATAAACGGAGTACTGTTGCCAACTTAGACCCTACGCCAGCATGTTCGTTCGCCATTCACACAAATAAACCATTTCTCGATTGCCGTGCCAGCGTATTAAGTGCGGCGGACAAAACTCTGAATGCCTATTGGATAAGGTTGATCGAAGTTATGATTTTGCACAAGGTTCAGTCAAATGTCGGAGAAAGGCAGCCCTCCGGGAAAAAAAATGGTTGTAATGTTTTACAAATTTAGAAAATAGGAGCGAGAAGGGGCTCAAGATTGTACAGTCACTCTCGCGGCGAAGACGCTTTCCCATAACTTTATTAGTATCTAGTACGCGGTTCTGTGGTGTTGGCAGTTTCCACCATTTCGGGAGATGCCGCGATTAAAACAAAAGCGCAACTTATCTAGTAGGTCACATGAATTACAACACGGTTTGTAGAAAGCTCGTTGTTTGTACTTATATAAGAAGGCGTTCCTGCTTTCGTCAAACGGTTATTGAAGTTTTGAATAAATCCAAGTAAAAAGACTACGATCAGATGGCAGCAATTTTACAAATTAAAAGGAAAAGGGCGATTATCAATGGCTTAAACATATGCAATAAGGGCAGTGGACATATCTTTTTAAACTTCCAAAGCCCTTTGTATATTACATTCTACAAGCCCTGTGACTGGTATTTGCTTGGGTTTTTTTGGCCTGTTTGTGCAAAATGTATCAATTATAAGGCCTGTCACATGCATTTTTCAAGGTCAATGCAATTATTTCCTAACGTTCTAGTATTAAATTCACGGAACTAAATAATGAGTCCACAACAGTCAGTGGCTCCGTTTAATGCATACTGTATGCAAGCACCTCAAACCTTGTACTTGACCGTGAGTTACCCAGAGGTAGAAAGCAAGTTAAATTTCTGTACGTAATAACGTTGCTCACGTTTAATACACCAATATTTTCCCTTCAAAATAGCAAAGCTCTGTCAGTGAAGAAAAGTTAACTCTTCAAATTACGCAAGTCTGCCCATTGTGCAATGAAAAAGAGAAATGATTGGGCAGTAAAACTTAAATAGTTTAAAAAAGAGTAGGATGCACGGGAAACTCCCTCGACATCGAATAAATAAAGTTCTTTTCAAATGTATCTGCGGCAGTTTGAAGACGATGATAACGTCATCGAGGCCCACCAAAGTTATAGGTGCTATAACTTTGTTGGAGAACCCCTTCCTAGCGATGTAACATATAAACCCTCGTGCATAACTCGTGAAATTGTAGCATGAACTGTTTTCTTTCTGCTAATCTATCAATGAAGTCTGCACATGAAAACATAGTAAATACTACTTATATTACCCTCTTAACAGAACACCGAAATATAATCGCCCTGCCCAAATAATAAAGGTGGCTTTGCGCATAATTTCATGGGGAATTAATATTTCCGTGTCCTATCCCCTACACTAAGTCTACTGTAGCCCTAATTTTAAGCCTAACACTACCCTGTAACGT